TCATTTTCAGCAAACAAGGTTGTATCATCAGTGTATTGCAGGTTATTAATGTGTCTTCTTCCAATCCTGATGCCATGTTCTTCATATAATCCAACTTCTCAGATAATGTGCCTAGTATACAGATTGAATAAATATGATGATAGAATGCAATCCTGGCGTACACCTTTCCTGATTTTAAATCATTCAGCATCACCTTTTTCTGTTTGAATGACTGCCTCTTTTTCTATGTACAGGTTCCTCATGAGCACAATTAAGTGTTCTGGAATATCTAATTTTTCCCGATATTATTCATAGCTTGTCATGATCCACATAGTCAAACGCCTTTGCATAGTCAATAAAGCACAGGTAAACATTTTACTGGTATTCTCTGCGTTCAGCCAATATTCATTGAACATCAGCAATGATATACCTCATTCCATATTCTTGTCTGAATCTGGCTTGAACCCTGTCAATAGTTTTAAAATTATTTTTAGCAACATTTTATTTATTTGTGATGTTAATGATGTTGTCACCTCTCTTTGGAATGGGTACCAATCAGCTGGCTATGTAGCTGTCTTCCAAATTTCTTAGCATAGATGAGTGAGTGCTACATTGGTTTGTTGAAATTTTTCAGTTTGCATTCCATCAAATCATGGAACCGTATTCTTTCTATGCCTTTAGTTCACCTTGGACTTCTTCCTCCAGTATCATTTGAAATGGTTGAATATAGGCCATTTTCTTTTAGTACAGTGACTGTGTATTCCTCTCATCTTCTTGTATTTTTCTCATTAAAATCCCTCCATCTTTTATTTTAATAATATTTTACATTTTCTTTTTGTTCTGAAAATGCAAGTTAAATTATAAAATCAATCTCTGGGGTTCCATCAGTTTCTATCAGACCAGTAAGGCCGATCTTTTTTGTCATTTTCAGTTTTGTTCCACATTTATTCCACTCTGTCTTGGACTTTATATTTTAATGGACACCATCTAGTTCTGGTCTCAGGGTCTTGGAGGCTGGAGTTTACATGTTCTATTCATCCTTTGTATCAATTGTTTCCATGTGTCTTGGATTTTCTGAACTCTGTTTTGGATGGGGAGTAGCTACACCTTAGATGGCCACATCTTTTAAGACCCCAGTTGTTACTCATCAAAATAGAATGCAGAACATTGTATTTGTGGACTATATATACCAATTAACCTTAATGGTATACATATTGGTCCTTAGCACTCAACCCAGTTACTCATTCCCTCACTGGTTATGGATTCTTAATTTGGCCACCTGTATGCTCTCCTATACTTACAGATATATTTGTAGCACATATAGATACATACATGTTGTTAAAGGCTGTTGAGTCAGTTCTGACTCATAGTGAGTATTGGGTTTCCAAGAAGTGTATGGTCGGTTTGAACTGCTGACTTTGTGATTGGCAATCCAGTGCTTATCTATAGCAACATTGTTGTTGTTGTTGTTATGTGCCGTGGAGTCGGTTCCGACTCATAGCGACCCAACACAGGGTTTCCGAGGCTATAAATCTTTACAGGAGCAGACCGCCTCATCTTTCTCCCACGGAACCTCTGGTAGTTTCGAACTGCTGACCTTGCGGCTCGCAGCCTGATTCATAACCACTATGCTACCAGAGCTCCATTATAGCACCATACCAGGACTCAAATACATATACAGAAATATCGTATTCCAGACTTATATATATAATTAGTGGTTATAGTTCCATGCCCCTTCTCATACCTATTCAGCTTGCATGTCTATCTATGCATCCACATGTAAGTTGCTGTCTTACTGTTACTGCAGGATTGTGTATGTAATAGTATTTTTCTGATTTTATTTGCCACCTCTTGTGCCTTCAACTCTTGTGCCTTCATTTGCCTTGACCATTACATGCTGACCTCAGTTTTATTTTACATTGCCTTTCTCTTCATCCAAGTGTCTACTCTCTAGTTGTATTCCCCTTGAGTCTTAGTCTTGGAAGAGGGTTTGTCCTGAGGGGACTTGACCACTTGCCTTGATGGCTCCTGGGTGAACAGTTTGCTTGTTCTTGTAATAGTCAATTAGACTGCCATTATTGTTTTTGATTTTTCCTGCTGGTCTGTCTATCACGAAGTATCTTCTGTTCTTCTAACCGCTCCAGGCTGATCTACTTGTCCTTTCGAGATGGAAATTTCCTACCTCAGACAATTCTGGATGGGGTTCAGGATTCCACCTATGGTCTTATGCAATGCAAAGGCTCCACAGGAAGCCTTTCACTGGGCAACTTCTAGCCCTTTAAGGTATTTCAATCAGTTATAGGCTGAAGACAGACTTACAAGCTTTCTGTTGTGATGTTTCTGGCTGTTCCTTTCTCTCCTTCTCAAAGCATCTATTTTACAATGGTAGGCAAGGGAAACTAAGACTCAAAAAGACAGCCAAGCATCTTAACATTATTCCTCTCTTTTATCCATTCAAACGATGCCTCAATCCCTGTATCTGAGAGCCCTGCTCTTCCAAGGTTGTGCATACATCATCATTTACCTCTGACCCACTTAGCCCATGCAAACCTGCCTAACTGTTCTCCCATCCACCTTGTTCTTCCATTCCCCTCTCTTTTCATGTATATTGCCACCCTCCACCCCAGCACCTGACACAGCACCCAAGCTATCCTGTGTCTATTCCCTACCCTGTACTCTATCTTCCCCTCTATCCCTCCCCTCCACTCATCTCATACATCCCGGTGATCAGCAAATATGTATATAATTTTTTTCCCTTTTAGGGTGGGTTCTTTTACTTAATCTTTTACAATAATGGTCCTATGCAATATTTCTCCTTTTGTGACTAATTTCACTCAAGCATAATGTCCTCAAGGTTCATTCATGTTATGCGGTGGCTTACAGCTTCCTTGTTGTTCTTTGAAATATTATTTTTGATGATGGATGTCATGCCATTCCTCTTTAATTTGCCATTTGTGGCATACTAAACCATATGATTCTCAGATTCAAAATGGTCAATAGCAGTCCATCTCAGGTCATTAATGCCTAGGATATCGATACTTATGCTTTATATTTCATTTTTGACAAAGCCAAAGGCAAAAGAAGAAGGTGCTCAGTGGACTCATGTCACTAAGATGGCTCCATAAGTCCTAGGCCAGGAGTATTTTAGGGTGGTAGCTGGCATCTGATTGTGTTCATCAGCATGATTCAGCACTTGTATTCTGTGCATTCTCAGTTGGGAAGGGAGATCACAACTATGGAGTTTTGCCTATGCCCATGGAGTTGATGGAGGTGTGTTTTCAGCCTCATGATGACAGAATGTCAGACCAAGGACACATTGGTCATTAATGCATATGTTAGGTGGTCAAACCTGGTCCTAGCCAGCTTCGGGATCCCAGTCTTTATTAAGGAGGAAGCTGGTAGTTTGCTAATAAGGGAACAGCTAAAAGCAGGAAGCTAGTTCTTGTTTTACCACAAATATCAAAGATGACAGCTGATTTGCAGACCTCACCCCCAAGGAAACTAAGGGAGACAACTTGAGTCACATCCTCTAGTAAGATATATCCTACCTTAAGAAGTTAAAGACATCCCAAATGTCAGACACTCCTAAAGTGTATTCCTTCTTCATAATCCTTGATATCAACCACTACTCCTCCCCTCAGTATTCTCTCCCATGTCCCAGGATTCCACAATTCACTGAAATGTCTCACAGAATTCACTGATCATCAAAGAAATGGCTTGCATGGTTGTGGAGGTTGGCAAATCCCAAATAACACACACACACACGCACATGCGTGTATCCTACCTTGATACTGTTTTTTTTTTTTAACCTTGATACTGTTTTATTAATATAACAGACAACTCACTCCAAAATGGGACTATACCCAGAAACACAGAGGCTAGGATTTACAATACACTGATTACAAAATGGTGAACTATGGGGGCAGCATATTAAACCATACCACAAGTATGGTTGAAAAGTAAGAACAAGTATCTGAGAGGCAAGAAACCTACTACCTCTTAAGAATGGAGTGAGAGAAACCTATACTCAAATACAGTTCTGTAGTATATGACATTCGAAGGGTGGGTGTCCTTATCTATAAAGGATAATAATATAAGCAACTTTTGAAGACTGTTGCACTGAGATAACGCATGAACATTTCTCCCAGTTCACTACTCCCCTAATAATAGTAGGTACCTAGCACAGTGACTGGGACTATTTCTTGACTGACTGGTATATGGTAAGACACTTAGTACATTGCCTGGTACATAGTAAGCACTCAAAAAATACCTCTCATCTTTAGTTCTGGTATTATTGTTATTGCCATTATTGTGTAAGTTTGGAAGAGTAACATTAAAAATAACCATTTGTGGCTGATAGACTAAGGGGAATCTACTTTTGGTTATGAGGTTAGTCTATTTCAGGAAGGCCCAGATTCAGAGTGCAGACATTATTCATTAGCCCAAATGATGTACCTTGATTATTCTACATCTAATTCATCATAAACTTATCTAGGTTTTAAGTAACCATACCAGAGTGTAAACATGAGGAACTGGGGGAACAAACAGCCATTATCTAAGTTTAGCTTATGACTAGAAAATCTGACCAGGCTGCCAATCTCCCACCAAATAATCTTGGAATGAGGCTGAAATGAGCACTTTGTTTCTGTATCTATTTAGGTCAACCTGATTTGTCTTTATCAAAATAAAAGTAAATGTTAGTTCAGAATGGCTCCCTTATCATTTCCTTGGGAAAACACATTTTAACCATTTTGATGTTGTTAAATGCCATCGAGTCAGTTCCAACTCATAGTGACCCTGTATAGGGTTTCCAAGGAGCAGCTGTTAATTTTGACCTGCTGACCTTGCAGTTCAAACCGACCTTGCAATCCAATACTTATTCTATAGTGCCATACCAGGACTCCCAATTTAACCATAGGGTTTCAAAAACTACAGACTAGTTCCCCATCTCTAGATCCCTATACAGAAGATTGCTAATTTTTTTTTTCACTTCTTTCTCTTTCTTTGTCATGTCATCCTAGGCTGTCATGGTGTCCCTGCTGACAGATTACTCACCTCAGCTCCAGAAGCTGAAGTTCTGATGCCAGCAGGCTTGTCAAGAGAGAAGTGATATTCTTCAGAGATAGAATGAGTCAATTTATGGAGGAAGAAGAGAATGGGGGAAGAAGAAAATCTAACAAATAAATTCCTAATACAGAGTATGGGTGAATTTTATGATATTGTGTTGCTATTGTGAAATCTCTCCAAAACCCTTAAGAAAAGTGTGCTGATGCACTGTAATACTTGGTTTGATTTTGTTCCAAATCTCTCTAATTCACAATTTCAGAGTTATATCTGGGTATCATATTAATAATTATATACATTTGCTTCAACTAAGCATAAAATACTGTCTTTATAACACATAATGTTTAAGCCATTAAATGTAATCTATGTTTATTACCTTAATAAATTATCACCCACGCTAATTTATAAGTAAACATTTACCAGGAAGTCAGCTACTGGTAGATCTGTGGGTTGTGTTCATGTCCCCCAGGACCAACAAGGAAGTCAAATGATCCATCTTGCAGATGGAGTACAATTTTAAGGCCGATGAAGACATTCACTTGTAGAAGGAAATTAAATTCTTAGAAAACAGCTATATCTGTGCCCAAACTCTGAAGATTTTTCTCCAATCATTTGTAGGAAAAGAGTCCTTTAAGAGCAAGCATCTACTTTCTGTAATGAATACTTAACGTGGCAAGTCTAAAGAAGTCTTTGTGAGCAAGTGGTAAAACTCCAGATATTTGGCTAGGAATGATAGACCCATAAGAAAGTCATATTTTCTCAGGTTCAAATTGCCCAATTCGATTTTTTTCATGTTTTCATTTATCATGCATTTACTAACACCCCACATTGCATAGTTTCAGAAATCTGCTACTTGCCACATTTTAGCCAGTTTTTTCACCGTCCAATTTTTCTTCGGAATGATCAAATTTTGCATTATTGAATTTATATGATGTAATTAAAACTAGATTTCTCTTCTGGATAACTAAAATTTGCATGAATGATTTATGAAGTTCAAACTTTATTTATTTTTTTAGTTAAATGTTAAATAGCATAAGGGAAGCTTTTTTTACTTAAGAAAACAACATATTTTACAGAGGGTAAACAAGTAATTTCCTTTAATTCCACCTCTGCTATTATAAGAAGTTTCCAGGCTAGCTGACTGATATTCTTCATTAGACAGCTATGACTTAAATGAGTAAGCAACAGATGAATTACAAATGAGATTTGCAATAAAGATGCAATAAAACATGTTTCATGGGGGAAAAAACTCATGATGGTATAGACAAAAATCAATTTTCCAGTAAATGTCAAAGGTGACTTTCACTTCGCTGGTAATTTATTGGAAGCATTTTAAAAAGAAAGAGAGTTTAGTTTAGTGGGATACCTTCCTTAGCAGAGAGTACACAGAATACACAGTCACTGTACCAAAAAGAAATGGCCGATGCTCAATCACTTCAATAGGTAGCATATGGTCAAGAACTGATGGTACTGAAGGAAGAAGTCCAAGCTACACTGAAGGCATTGGTGAAAAACAAGCTTCAGGAATTGATTGAATACAAATTGAAATCTTTCAACAGAATACTGAAGCACTGGAGGTACTCAGTCATCTATACTAAGAAATTTGGAAGACAGCTACCTGGCCAAACGATTGGAAGAGATTCATATTTGGGCCTATTCCAAAGAGAGATGACTGAATAGAATTTGGAAATCATCAAACAATATTATTAATATCATATGCAATTAAAATTTTGCTGGTAATCATTTAAAAAACAACTGCAATCGTGCATCAACAGGAAGTTCCAGAAACCCAAGCTGGATTCACAAGAGGATGTGGAACAACTGGGGATATCATTACTGACATCAGCTATTTCTTGGCTGAAAGCAGAGAATACCAGCAAGCAAAACAACTTCTGTTGTTTTGACGGTGGATCATGTCAAACTATGGATAACATTGCAAAAAAAATGGGTATTCCAGAACACTTAATTGTATTCATGAGATATCTGCACATAGACCAATAAGCAGTTGCTCAAATAGAACAATTAGATACCAAATGGTTTAAAATCAGGAAAGCCGTGTGCCTGGGTTATAACCACCATACTTACTCAATATGTATGCTGAGCACATAATCCAAGAAGCTGAATTATATGAAGAAGAACATGGCATCAGGACTGGAGGAAGACTAACAGATGATAAGCAGATGATGCAACCTACTTGCTGGAAGTAAAAAGGACTTAAAATACTTACTGATGGTGATGAAAGACTACAGCTTTAAGTATGGATTGTGCCTCACTGTAAAGAAAACAAAAATCCTCATAACTGGATCAATAAATAACAACATGATAAATGGAGAAAAGATTGAAGTTGTCAAAGACTTCATTTTGCTTGGATGCACAGTCAACATTCCTGTACGCAGCAGTAAAGAAATTAAATGATGTATTGCATTAGGCAAATTGGCTGCACAAGACCTCTTTAAAGTGGTCAAGAGCAAAGATACCAACCAGTTTGAGGACTAAGGTATACCTGACCCAAGCTTCATATGCATGTTAAATTTGGACAGTGAGTAAGGAAGACCTTCAAAGAATTGATGTATTTGAGATATGGTGCTGAAAAAGAATATTGAAAGTACCATGGACTTCCAGAAGAACAAACAAATCTGCATTGGAATAAGTATAACCAGAATGCTCCTTAGAAGCCAGGATGGTGAGACTTAGTTTCTCATACTTCAGAGCATCAATCTTGGTAAAGTGGAGGATAAATGAAAAAAAAAAAAAAAAAGGAAGACTCCCAACTAGATGGATTGGTACAGTGGCAGCAACGGGATTAAATGAACAATAATTGTGACAATGGTGCATGACCAGGCAATGTTTTGTTCTGTTGTATGTGAGGTTATGAGTTGGAACTGACTCAAAAGATCTTAACAAAAGCAACAACATAGGAATGAATTAACAAGAAGGTACTATGGACATGGTGGAGGCTCTCCCTCAAAGGACCCTGTTGCTAATCACAAGCTGCTATTCCACAGGAGAAAGAGGAGATGTTTTGCTTCCATAAAGATTTACAGCCTTGGAAACCCTATATAAGGTCGCTATGAGTCCAAACTGACTAGATGGTTGTGGGTTTTATTTTGTTTTGTTTTGGTTTGTCCTTTACTTACCAAATGGTCCCCCATAGTAATGAGTTCTTAGCTTTTTTTCTGGCTATTCTTTGAACCAGATGGGTGGTATAAACTTCTTCATTCAATCAGAACGGTCTTATATTTTTTCCCCAAAAAATGCAGTCACTTTTAGCTAAAAAAAAAAAAAAATTCCCCAATGCTTTTCTCTGTTATGTAGTTTGTAACTGTACACACAGTTTAGCACCCTTTTCAACCCAAACATGCTGAAATTTATTTGCTTCTTAACTTTTCATCTTGAGAAGACATTATTTGGATGTTTATTATTTGCTTCTATGCTATCAGGAAAAAAGAAAAGAAGGCTTACTTTTCACAACACTATTTTCATCTCCTGTTCTCACTCTTTTCTTCCTCATTCCCTTTACTCAAATCACATCAGTAAGTAACTACCACAATTTCAATGAATACTAAATATACTAGAAATAAACCTTTGAGTCCCTCTTATGAAGTTAATTAATATAATTAGCCCATGAATTCCTTTATTTCAGTCTTTTTTCACTCTAAAGCTGATACTTAAAAAATGAACTGATTACATTGCAATGATTTCAGTGTTCAGTTGTTTTCCAGTGACAAGTTTACAAGAACTTTATAATGAAAATTCAGTGTCATATATTTCTACTGGCAATAGTCTCGGATTGATTTGATTATTAGGAAGGTCTAGGCAGGAAGATCTGCAGAGGTAAACCTGGTAATTCCACATTAGACAACTTACTCAAGGGATGCTAGAACCTCAGCTACAATGGCAGGAGATCCTTGGTCCAATGTCAGAGTCCTAAGACAAGCCTTGCCATGGAATAAGATGAGTGAAGAGTAAATATATGCAGAGAACGTATCCAGAACACCTTCTTTTGTGACCTATTTTGTCTTGGAAGCTCTCGTCAATGTCTATATTCCAGAGGACATACATCTTGAGACAGTGACACTCAATAACTCTGTAAAATGAACACCTTATAGTGAATTTGGAGGGTCATATGGACGCTGTGGGATAAGTGCAGGATCAACAGGTCAGTTTGAGCTACAAGGTCGGTGGTTCCCACTCACCAGTCACTCCTTGGAAACCCTGTACTGGGTCACTATGAGTTGGAACTCCACGGCACTTCACAACAACAATAACTGTACGATGGAAAATAAGGCACATCACAATGATCAAACTCCTAAAATTAGGAACTCTGCATTCTGCCATGTAAGTAGTACAAAAGTCCCAGGTGAAAAACATGGGTAGAGGTTGAAATCTGGTCATCTTTTTAGCTACCAGGTCTTATGCTTCTTTATGTGGAGCTGTGGGTTAATATGCCAGACTGCAAAGCTGTTTGAACTGTAAGGTTGGAGGTTCAAGCTCACCAGCTGCTCCTCGGCAACCATACACAGGGTCGCTATGGGTCAGAATCAACTCGATGGGACTAAACAACAGCATGTTTCTTTACAGGTTTTACCTACAGGAGGAATGAGTGCCTTTTCTGTCATTTGTCCACTCACTGGGGACACTTTTTAGTATTTCATAAGCCTAAATACGGTTATTTCATGAGCCTAAATTTTAATTCACACAAAGGATCAGTATACAGTAGATGAAGTTCTACCTTCTGCTATTTATTTCATAAGTTTTCTTGTTTTTCACTTTCACCTTGAACTTCAGGACAATGTAGCACAGAGGGACAATTTAGTGATGGTTTTGGTTTCTTGCCTCAGTTCCTGCCACAAATTCCTAAGACCTCACAATAGAAGTGATAGTGTCTGTCAGTCTTTGTGTGGTAAACAAGAGAGGGTTTCAAAAAAGTTCATGAACAAATTGCTTATCTTATAATTCCATTTTTTCATGAACTTTTTGACAGTCCCTCACATGTGTCACAGGTGGCTGCAGCAGGGACTTGAGAATCAATTCTGCAGCGCTTTAGTATTTTAAAGAAATTCTTCCCTAATAATTGTCCAGAAAAAATGAATGTCAATTATTGATGAAAGTATCTTGGTTAGATCAAGTGGAAATGAGTTCTCTGGCATGTCTTGCGCTCTTTTAATCTTATCAGTGTTTGGCTTATATCAATGACACCAGACTTGGTTTCTAACCAAGGCTTTTGTGAAATTCAACCCTAAAGGAAATGTGAGCACAATAACTACTTTCTGGAACAGAATCACTAGATAAATGAATTTTTAAAGTAGAATGGAGTTTAAAAACAATCCTGTCCATTCATTTAACAACAACAACAACAAAGAAACTAGGTAAAACCAAAACAAAGTTCCTAAGATAGAAATATA